TTCTGTGCCATGCCCATCCTGTTCCACCCCAGCCAGCACCTCTCTCCTGATTTCCAGGATTCCCTGTGGGATTTTATCCCATCACCTTTTTCTTCTTTACAAACCCAGGATCCCACTGGTTCTTTCCCTACTCTGTTTTTCCATCAGCTCTGACTCCAAAAAGGCTGGGGGCCATTTTTTAATTGAATTAAAATAATAATCAAACCTAGCAGACCGTGGTGATTGCTGCAGCAATCCATTTTAGTTTCTGTCCTGCATTTCTTTGCTCTTTGGGGCACTTAATGTTTTGGTTTTTTTTTTTTTTTCCAGTTCATTACTTACAGAAACAAATGGAAATGGTTCATACCACAAGAATAAAAGCAACTCTAATATCTGTGTAATTATCTGTGGGGTTTAGATATAACTGCATGTTTGGGGGGGTTTCTCCTTTTTTTAGCTCTGAGCTGGAATCTGAGGAGTGTAAATAACTACACACATGTCTGAGGGGTGCAAAAAAGATTCCCAGTATTTTAAGGAATTTTTTATTTGTAAAGGGAAAGAGCAATTTGTGCTCAAAGGAGTGACTTCCTAACCCAGAAATGCCATTTATTTCCTTCAGGCTCATTAATTTCCAACCACTCACACAAGCCACAGTCTGCACTGCTTAGAGGAGCACAATCACATCACAAAAATGATCATTACACACACAAAAAAAAAAAAAAAAATAAAATCACATTTTCATTAATCAGCTCCACCCCAGGCTTCCCCACCCACACTGCATCACCTGACCAGGGGCAGCCAACCACAAGGCAACCTTGCTTATTAATTCTTAATTTAATACTTCCAATCAACATCTTTAATTACTTTAGAACTCTAGGTGGTGAGAAGATAATTACCCACATAGAAATAACTGAATTTGCAACACCAAATACGATTAAAATGCTTTTATGGAAGTTTAGAGAAAGGAAATGAGCTGTAGCTTTAAAAAACAAATCGAAATAATTCCTGAGCAATGGGACACAGCAGCAATTCCAGAGGGAAAGCAGAGCTGGGTGACAAAATTAATTGTGACACACGGGGAAGTGACAAAAAGGAGAGGAGAAAAGGGCAGGATCAGCACACAGGGAGCAGAGCCAGGAAATGCAGGAATTCAAAAATTCATTTATAACCCAGCAGCTCCTCAGGGCTTCAGTAAGGGCACCCCAAAACTGGGGGGTAAGGAACCCCCAATGGGATTGGGACAGGGATGGGATTGGGGACAGGGATGGGATTGGGGATTGGGGCAGGGATTGGGGGATTGGGGACAGGGATGGGATTGGGAACAGGGATGGGATTCAATCAGCCTCTGAATCCCTTTTCTAAGCCAGGACCAGGACCCTGAGCTGCCTCCCTGTGATCCCCCCACGTTTCTCTCCAAGCACAGAGAACACAGAGGTCTGAGCAGAGCCTGGGCTTGCCATTCCCTATTCCCAACAATTCCCTGGGAGCACACAGGATTTCCTGTGCATGTGGAGCACTCAGTGCATCCACCCCAAGAATTTTTCACTGTTACACCTGCAAATGCTGAGCAGATTAATTTGGATAGAGAATTGCATTAAGGATGCACATCCACGTCTTTGAATAAAGCAAATTGGAATCTAAGTCTCTGTTAGATGGACTTTCTCCCCTCCCAAATCTTGTTTTCTATTTGAAATTACATTAATGAACAAATAATATTAATTGCAGTTATCAAATCAGACTTGTCAGCTGCCATCATGCCACACTTCATGTGGCAGAGCTGGCACCTTATTTTTAGTCATGCAAGAGAAGAGGCAAACAAGCTTTTCTGATTTCAGCTTAACTGCTCCTCTTGAATGGAAATGTATTTTCAAGCTAAACTGAAAAGCAGGAGTGATTAAAGAAAAGGTTGTTCCACACCAAAAAAAAACCAAAAAAAACCCAACCTGGGTGTGCTTTGGAAATGAAGAAACAAAGAGAATGAAGGGAGGGAGCAGAGAATAATTGGGAAAAAAGTTGTCAAAACCAGATGTTCCCAATCTTTTGTGTACATTCATTAATAAAGTAAATGTGGATATACAGCCCATAAATCACAACATGTGGCTGATAAATCAGTGCTTTCAGGCTCTGTTATACCAACAAAAACCTAAGTGCCACTCGACATTTGTATCAAGAAACTCAAACAGATGAAAAAGATGAAAAAGTGACTGAACATTCTCCAAGCAGAGCCATGAACACAAAACTCTCCCTGCACTGAGGCCCCCCAAGAGCAAATCATTGCCTACAGGGAACCCCAGAAATCCCAATCCAACCCATTCCCAATCCAACCCAACCCATTCCCAATCCAACCCAACCCATTCCCAACCCAACCCATTCCCAGATCAACCATTCCCAGCCCAACCATTCCCAGCCCAAACCCAAAGATTCCCAGCTCAAACCATTCCCTCACCTGCCCCCACACTGGAATCCCTCACCTGCCCCACCTTCCCCAGGGAATTCCCCTCAGAACTGGGGAGCACATTTGGGATGCTCAGGGGGGCTCAGGAGGGATCCTGGGCAGATTTGGGGTGCTCAGGGGGCTCAGGGAGGGATCCTGGGCACATTTGGGATGCTCAGGGAGGGATCCTGGGCACATTTGGGATGCTCAGGGGGGCTCAGGAGGGATCCTGGGCAGATTTGGGGTGCTCAGGGGGGCTCCCATGGCTGTGCTGGAGCAGGAGCCCAGGCTGGCAGCAGCAGTGACATCAGTGCTGCTCTCCCAGAGCTCCTCATGTCAAAACAGGAATTGAATTTTTTGCTGCTGCCACTCTGAAGGTCAAACTGCTCAGTGGATGGAGCTCAGTGAGCAGGCAGGGCTGGGCCTGTTGCTTTTTCTCCCAGGCTGCTGACAAGTCTGAATGCCACAGTCAAGCTGCCATTTGGGGGGGATAAAAAAGGAAGGCAAAACAAAACCAAAGGCTCAGCTCTGTCAAGCTGCTCCGAGGAGCAGCAGGAACACTTCAGTCCAAGTGTCACTGTCATCCCTCCCCTCCTGACATCAAACCCCAGACACTTTTCGAGGAGGAGAAGAAGAAATAAATGAATATTGCAGCTATGGCTCCTTCCCTCTCACCTCTCCTCCCCTGCCTGGGAATTCTGAGCTCACACAGAGCCTGCAGCTCATCTCTAGAGAGCAGCAGATAAAACAGCACAGGACAGGAGCCTCACACCTTTTATCTCATCACTGAGCCTCCTGCTTGCTCCTTAATTCCAGCTGCACTGCCAGCACAGAGCTGGACAAAGAGCAAAAAGATTTTCTTGATTAAATGGTTTCCAGCTCTGCAATTAACAATCATGGGGAAAGGGCTGTCAAACACAGAATGGTGCCCAGAGGATGTGGGCAAGCACAAGGCATGGCCAGCCTTCCCTGTCCTCCCACTTGGACCTCACTTTCCTACAAAAATGGGAATTTATTCACTCTGCACCAAGTCCCTGTGATGCACACACAGCTTTTCACCACTACGCTCCTGCAGACCCAAATCTGAGACACCCAGGAATGGTTTTCCTTTCATGGAGAAGAAAAACTCCTCAAAAAAACTTCTTCAGGGAGCTCCAGATGCAGAGCAGTCAGCTGTTCACTGAGGCTGCCAATGAACTCACACGGAAATCTTCTGAACCAGATAACCCAGGCTCTTGGGCTGCAATCCAGGATGTGACCAAAGGTTTGGATTCTGTCACCATTGGTTGAAACGAGGTGTGGCAGTGATCCTGATCTCTGTGGGGATCTCTGCTGTTCATGTTCCAGCTGTTCACCCAGCTGTGGCAGTGATCCTGATCTCTGTGGGGATCTCTGCTGTTCATGTTCCAGCTGTTCACCCAGCTGTGGCAGTGATCCTGATCCCTGTGGGGATCTCTGCTGTTCATGTTCCAGCTGTT